GCATCCAACTTAATTAATCCAATTAATTAAGCCGGTTAACCCAAATTTTGTCAAAATTAAAATTTTGCAAAAGCCAGAAAAACCGAGGCCTAGCCTCGTTAAAATAAATAAAAAAATTAAAACGACAAAATATTGCGAAAACCGATAGCCCAATTCAAGCAAGAAATCGACCCACCCAAAGAATCGTGGGATGCGCACCATGGCTGCCTAGCAGAACTTGGGAGATGCGGCTGCATGTGCTGGGTGTTGGCATGCATGCCCAGCAACGCATGCCACGCTTGCTAGCGCTAGCAAGCGAGTGGCTGGCTTGCTGGGGCTTGCTGCCTCGCTACCCAGCAGCACGCACAAGCATGGCCAACAGCCATCCACCACGCACCACGCACACAGCAGCGCACATAAGCCCAGCCACACAGCAGCAACAACAATTCGAGGTGGAGCACCCTTATGCGCACCTAAGGCAGCCACATGCGGGCTGCCTTGGTGGCGCTATGATGTTTTTGCCTCGATTAGCGTGCTTTTTCTCGGGATTTTAATCCCGTTATACGTGTGACATAAAATTAATTCTAAATATATTTTAGAATCAATTTAGGGCAATAATGAAATTAAAACAAGTCCAACTTAATTAAATTCAATTTTTAATGGTGCACAAGCCTAAATTATTCAAGAACCATTCTTAAAACAATTTAGGTCTTTCTTTATGCTATAAAAATTGAACGGCTACACTCATAATTAATTCAACAAAATATAAATTAATAATGAGATTTGACAAAATAATGGGGTTGGAAAAATAAACCCATTCGTCCAATGAAAATTTTCCAACTTTAACTTGTGTATTAATGAAAAATTACATTTTCCAATATGAAGATTAATAAAAAATCAATCACAAGTTTTGTACTTTAAGGACTTTAATCAACACAAAATGATTATATCCAAAAATTAGTTCAACATGGAATTTAGCAATCAAAGTTCCAACCAAATAAACAAATAAAGATTGGATCTTTGAAATTACAAGTTCACCATAAACATTCACACTTGGAGCAATTTATTTGCAACAATGTGAAAAATTCAAGTTTATGTGAAAAATGAACATAGAAAATTAAGCACCAATTATGACTTCATAAACATGCTTAATGAGGTTTATAATTGCAGTAGATTAGGGATGCAACCATACATTTAATCTACCTTCAACATGCAATAATTAATCAAGGTTAAAAGATTTAAAAAATTTCGATAAAAACAAACAAAAACCCTGGAAAAATATATTTTTTGGTGGATTTTGGCATCTAGACAACCTTTAAAGATTTAGAAACGATTTAAAACATCGATTCCACCCAAAAATCACTATTTTTGAATTGAAATCTGGGTTCGTCGGCCAAAATTAGAAAAAAATACGAGATTAAAACTAATTAAAACGAGCTTCTACTCCAATTAGAAAGCACAACCAGAAATTGAAATCCATTTTAAATCATCTTAATTAATTATTACTTACAAAAATTAAAGTGAACGCGGCTCTGATATCGCTGTTGGGTTTCGTAGAGTCTGACTCTACACGGAAGAGAAACCCGCCCAAGACCCGCCCACTAATTAAGGCAACTAAGCATGTAATCACAAATTAAACAACAATTAAGAGAGAGAAGGAAAAGACATTCTTACCCTTGGCGCGTGCTTCGTTCGAATCCCGAGCTCTTACTTCAAAACTTGAACCCTGTAAATGCGAAGGTCTCCAACGACTCGTACCCACGAACTCGACCAGAACGGTCCTAGTCCCGAAGGTTAGTCGGGACTTGACCAATAAAAACTAGAGTTTTACGAACTTAAGGTTTTCTCACTTTTCTAAGGAGATGCCTTTTTAGTTCCACTCAAGTGTTCTTTCCAAATCCCAAAACCTTGGTATTTATAGGAAAATGAACCTTAAATTCCCATTCTCAATCAATGTGGGAGATTTATAATTATCCCATTTTATTTTAATCAAAACAAAAATAAAATTGCAATTCAATCACCAAGTTACAAGTGGCAAGAGGAGGAGAGGGTGAAGGTGAGGACCACCAAGGGAGAGGACCAACCCACCTTGCTCCCCAAGGTAATGACCAAGCAACGGTCCCCTCTTAGCAAAACCGGACCACCATTCCAAGTGGCCGGCTGGCAGCCTGCCTTGGCTACCAAGGTTGTCAGCTGGTGCCTAGCACCAAGGCTGGGCAGCCTGGCCAACCAACCGCAGCCAGCCAGTGCATGCGTGCTGCTAGCGAGCCACACATGCTGAGCGCTGCTGCTATGCGAGGCACAGCGTGCTGCTGCTTGCTAGCACACACGCACAACCCAACATGCCTAGCACGCTGCTGGCTAGTGTGTGTTGCTTGCGATGCTGCGAAGCACTGAGCTGCTGCCATGCGAGGCCCAACACGCATGGTGTGCAGCGATGCCTGGCCCAGCTAGCACGCATGGTGCTTGGCTACAATGGCTAGGCGCTAGCACGCTAGCAAGCACGCAATGGTTGTGATGCTTGCGAGCAGTGCTAGGCAATGCTTTGCGCCAACGCCTAGCATGCTAGCAAGGCCCAGCCTTGCGATGGCTGGGCGCATGGCATGCTAGCACGCACGCAAGGCTGCGATGCTTGCGATTGCTAGCTAGCATGCATGGCCCTAGCATGCCTAGCATGCTAGGCTTACAACTAGCATTGCAATGCACATGCTAGCTCGAGATAGCCTAGCCCTCACATGGCTAGGCCAATGCGAGGCTACGGCCTAACTCAAACTTGTAACTTGATTGATTTCACGTCTCGTCGAATTCTAAATTCAACTCGACTCTTGACGCTCGATCTCGACGCTCTAAGCTCGATATTCGACATCTTTGTTCGTAAAACTCTAACGACTCATTAAATCCTCCGGATTGATTCGTCGTCTTGGATCGGTTGTTCGATTGGGTTCGACCCGAAGGGTTCAGTCAAGATTTAGATGTGATATTAATTGTACATTAATATTACTTATCGGAAGCGGCCTCCACCTAGGCATTCCGATCACTTGACCTTACTGAAGAATTAGCTTTTTAATAATTTTGAACCCTCTATCGGAATAATACACTTGTTGAAAGGACACCATTCCTTTCACACTGCTGTGTGTCCCAGACGATGGTTGGGCATATATACTAGAGTCGAACTTCCTTAGGATCACCACTATGCCCCTAGAAGACGACACATAAATAATCGTACCCAAGAATTGGGTATCCCATCTGGACCGTTTTAAGGACGAGACGTTCTTCTCTGCTTGTGATCTTAGCATCATGTTTGATAGACGTACGAAGACTACCATCTGGCACTTTAATGCCGCTTCTATTGTTTGCATGCTTTTTTTTTTGTTGAATGTTTGTCTAATAGACGGTGTCTTTTGCAAGAAAAATTTCTAAGTATGGTTGCTGCTGAGAAGACGCCTGCTAGGTCTACAACCTAGATCTGGAAGGTGAATCTGGAGAAAAAATAGGCCCAGCACGCGGCCAAAAAGGATGGGGTAAGCTCTGCCTGGCTCTTTGACTTGGAAATATATATTTTTATGGTTTTGAGACGGCACAAGGCCGATTGTAACCCATGTGTTCCTTTTTTAGGATGGAGCAAGGGACCCCCAAAGTCCATCTAAAAAATGCTCAAACGAAAGTCGGAGGATGCTGCAAAAGGCCCCTCCAAGACTGAGAAAACGTTACCTTCTCAGACAGCACCACCTTCTCTTCTCATACTGCTGAAGTTGGCGGTGACCGACCAACTTCGATAGGCAAAAGCCTTAAAAGCTTTTACCTGGGGGTTGATTTAGTCGGGAAAGAGCCGGGCGCCCCAAGGGCGCCGAAAGAGTGGTGTGCCACTCAATGCTGCACCCGGTTCTGCGGCGGCTGGGGGCAATCTGACCCTTCAGCCAACTCACCCAGGTATGGCTGCCTCCCTCAAACTCCCATGGCCCCTTGGGACCATGCGGGTCAAATCTAAGTCTCATCAGCAGTCGGGAGATTCGACCAGCAACCAACAGTCTATTGGTGCCGCTTATGCTGCAATCTCACAATCTCTTCCTTCTGGTGCAGATGTTTCTCCAAGATGGTCGGACCTCCAGCAGTACTCCAAACGGATGCTGAGGTCCATTACCCGGTCAGAAAAAAGACCTGGTCCCTGGGTTGCATCAGGTCAACCTCGAACGTATCACCGCCTTGCTGGCTGAGGTAACTTGTCTAACATTTCAAATCTTAATGCCTGTCTTTTCTAAAAATACCAACTATGTCATTGATTTGTCGCTTGTACTATGCAGACGATGCTTATGGTGGACAGGCTCAAAACTCCGTTTAACAAAAAGCAGGAGGAGGTAAGAGACGCCAAAGTCCGAGCGGCTAAGGCTATTGACTCTGCTCAATATCGAATTACAATGCATGATATTAAGACTAAGGTGGAGAGAATGACGCAGGAGGAGACCATAAAAGAGCTGACGATTGCGCTGGAGACAGCCAAACAGAAGGCGTCTGACCTGGAGCTTGAGCTCAAAAATGCCCAGTCAAACCTTAAGGCTCTCGAGGGTGCTGACAAAGAGAGCAGACTTAATACGGGGTACAAGAGAGTATACAAACTAGAGGAAGTACTAATGTAGGTTTGATATGCATTTGCAAATGCATAACAAATACTAAAGTATTGAAAAACACCTGGGGGTGAGATAAAGGAGGAGAGAGATTGATAAGTGGGACTACTTTTACATGTATCACTGAAAGCTTATATAATATCATTGACTATGTAGTAATATTATTTCTACACATAGTTAGTACCACTTAAGGAATATATAGTACCACTGCATACATACATAGTACCACTAAATGTTTAATGGTACTATTTGATCATCCAGTGATACTATTATCACCCAATGATACTACTTAATTCAAACTATACATTTTCGTGAAATGACCCTCATACTCCTTATTATGCATTTCCTAATACCTCACTAACCCCCTTTGGAAGGCCTCGTACAAACTATACATAAACTTGGATGGATTGCTTTGGAAAAGTAACTAAAGACTAGAACCACTAACCAGTACCATTGTAGTGAGCAGAGAGCAAGAGGAAGAGCTTAGGATGACAAGCACAGCAGCAATTGCACAGCCGTGCATCAACCATCACCATCTTTCCTTCAACCATGGCTATTCTCTCTCCTCTTCCGCCATTACAACAACCACCTTCTCCTCTCCCAGACTCCATGTTTACAAAGCTTACAATTCCATCCAAATTAACAACAATCCCAACTACCATCAAGGCCAACAACACTCTCGCAATTCCACGAATTCAACCACTTTTCCCTCAATTCCGCGCAATTCCACTGGTGGGTTTTTCTTGTCTCACCCTCATTTTTTTTTTTTTTTTTTTTTTTTTTATATTAAATTTTCTTTTATAGGGTGTATAATTGGAAGAAGAATTGTCCTATCGGACCGGAACCTCCGCGAAACCCAAATTTTACTGATGTATGTTTATTTTAACGTTTACTATTGTGTTTTTTTTCCTTCTGTGATGCAGGTGCTAGTGATTCTGAGTTGAGGGCAGTTCTTGAACTTGCTACAAATTCTGAACTTTTGGAGATTGAAAAAATCCTCTTTGGACCCAGGTAATTTTTCTGCTGTACTGCATTTTTTCAGGGATTTTGTAGTATATGAATTTTTGATGTAAAAATGTTATTAGTTCAGATTCTGGGCATTATAAATAGTGTGTGGTTCAAATTTTCATTGGCATAAATTTATATGTATTGCATATAAGGAGCCAGTCATGGTAACAGTGAAAATCAAACATTAACTACACTTGTTTTTGTCCTGCATTTCAAAGTTAATACCGATTTTTGAAATACATTCGGTGCTTATATGCAATGCTAAGGGATCTACTATGTCAAATGCGAAGTATATATAAATCACTTACACCATTCGACTTTAGTATGTCACATTTGGTTAGAGATCTTTCATAACAAGACTCTTATTTACTTTGAAAATTTGCTTACTAACAAGTCATAGCATTGAAGATGGTCTTGATATATTAATTAGAATGGAGGGAGCATATTTTTTTTAGGAATTTCATGATAATTTAGGTTTGTAATTCTCTGATTCTTAAAAATATTTTACCCTTTGCTGTGGTGTCGCAGCTACCTTAGTCCCCTGCTAAAATCATTAAGTAATGGGATTGAACTGGATCGATTCATGATTGAGGAGGACTTTGAACAGCGAGAACATTTCATTGAAGTTCTTGAGTCTCGATTTTTATATCTTGCGGCTGACGCTCGTTCTACATTAAGGTTAGTCCTCTTTAAAACTGATCATTTTTTTTGTTCCTGTGCTACTTTGTGTGTCTCAGTGTTTGCTCTTAAATAACTTTATTGGTGCCTTTCATCTATATGTCTGTTGTGGTTTATGTCGAACTTTGAATAGCGACCTTGCAAGCTTACCTTTTTTCAGTAGTAGTTGCACCCCTTTACTTTTTGCTGTGTGTGTGTGCGTGTGATTTCTTCTATTACAAGCCTTCTATTTCCCTAAATTGATTTTTGTTCACTTGCTCTTAAGGTTTTCTTATTTTTTTTTTTCCTTCTTTTTTTTCCTTTTCCCTTTTCCCTTTTCCCTTTCCCTGGGGTGTAAGTGGTTGGGGAGAGGAGTTGATAGACCGAAGGATTCACTTTGAGTATTGCATTTTTACAGTGAAGTACATAAGGAATTCACAATTGATATAACCTTTTGTAATGGAGAAAGTATGCTGCCCTTGTGTGAATTGGATGTAATCAGCATCTTCATAAAAGTATGTTTGCACTAATATTTTGTTCAAGTATGTTCTTACAGAATAATCAAGCATGCATATTATTCTTAATTCTGCATTGACTGAAAATCTATGTCTATGGAGGGTTAGTTTTGTTTTTAGACAATTTTTGGTTATTGCTCAAAGCATGATGTGTTGATGATGTAGAATTTTTTTTGCTGTTAAACAGACCTCTTAAGATCAAACAACATGCAAGCACCACTTGAAACAAACTCTAGCCATTTAATGTCCTTTGATAATTAGTGTCTTTAAAACCCTCATTTATTCATTAGATTCTTCATATTCCTAGCATTTTTGTGAGAATCACTACTTTCTTTCTCTAAACCTCAGCTATTCTTTCTCTAAAGGGCTAGAACAAACCCTAAAAAAAATACACTCCTAAACTAGCCTAATCTACTCTAATGTTTTCTCGCTAAAACTAAAAATGAAAATCTGAAAAATGAATTTAAAGTCTCTTAATACCCCAATTGGGTATTTAAAGTAAGCATAAAAGGAATATAATGATAAAAGAAAAGAAAAGAAAAGGAAAAAAGAATTAAGGAAATCGAAATAAAAAAAGAAAAAGACAAATGAAGAAGGAAAATCAGCACCTTCTTCCATATTCTTTTCGTGGCTGCTCAATTCACAATCATCAGATCATTGGCCATCATCAACATCAATAGCAATCAATGGTCATCATCTGCAAATCACCATCGACTGCCATTATTATTGATCAATAAACGAGACTATTTGATCTCTTTGAATGAAATCCAGCCCAAAACAGGGAATCAATTCGGGAAAGAGGGTGTAGGCTGCCGGCGGAAGCAGATATTCAAGGCACAAAGCTAGTCGAAACTAACAATATGTGGGCGCAACTTGTTTCTGCTGCATGCTGGAGCTGCAGTTGAGTGCTGTGGGCCAGTGCCTGCAGGGACGAGATGGGATGTGTGATGATTTGATGGGGTTGGTGTTGGTTGTTGATTGGCTGCCGCGGTGGTGAGGTGAGGTGAGGTGCTGCTATTGTGGTATTGCTTAAGTGAGCAAGGGCTAGTAATGTTGGTGAACTGCCGCATAGGTGAATTGCTTGGAGGATGGAATTTTGTGCATGGAATGCAGGGGAGTGTGGCAAGAAAGTGAAGGTTTCGAGTTGATGTTGTTAGGCAAGGCTATGAGGATGTAGAGGTTGGTTTTGGATGGTGGAAAGTCTTGTGAACTACTTGCTTTGCTATTTGTTTGTGTGGAAGTATAGATATGGTAGTATTGTTGTGAGGTACCGCTGGCTAGAGTAGTGTATGATCGGGTGTCTTGTGGTGTACGTTACTTGTTAGATGTTTGGTGATGGGAGAGAAAATTGAGGCTTTTGTGGTGTACTATAAGGAGTGGGTGGCGAAGGAAGTTTTTTCTCTATATATAGAGTTAGGCCCTATTCACTTCACCTTAAAAAAAAATAATATCCGTAAAAATAATGTAAAAATAAGTTTAGTTCAATAAAAATAATTTCAGTTAAGAAGAAATAAGTTTAGTTAAGTAAAAATCATTAACTTCAAATACTCCCTTTGTGTTTTAATAAGTGTTACACTTACTAAATACGACTGTGTTTTAATAAGCGCTACACTTCCTTTTTTGGCAAACAACTACATTAAATATAATATTTCTCTCCTCTCATGGTCCCCACCCAAAACCACTACTACTTTTTTATTATTTCTTTTCTCACATATTCATTACTTTTCAATAAACTATTAACTTCACTATCTTTCTTTTATAATTTTTTAATACTCTAACTAACCCACTTACCTCTTATTCTATTTAAGCCAATTTTATTGCCTAAAACTATGTGCCGGTCAAAGTGTAACACTTATTAAAACACAGAGGGAGAAAGAAATATAATAGAATATTAGTAAAAATTATTTCATTTTAATAATAATTAAGGAAAAATTACTTTAAATAATCCAACCTTTGCCCCATCCCAAAATAAATCAACCTTGGATTATTCCAGAATAATCCAACCTTTTACCTTCATCTTCCCATATCAACCCAACAGGTCATCGGTATAACCGGTTGCCTTGCCTATGTGTCATTTTCTTATTGGTTTATTTTTTAATTTACAATTTTTTTTTTCTAAAAAAACCACCCCACTTCTTCTCTCTCCTCTCTCTTTCTCCATGACCACCAACACCAATTCCTTTCTCTCTCCTTTCCTTCCATGGCTAACCTCCATTATTACCACCATCTTCCTCAATTACCATCTACCTCACCTCCCGTCCCTCTTACCAACCAATAAGAACACCACGAACCCAAAACCTCACCACCCCCACTCACCAAGAACCACCACCACCAAGCCATCACCACGAATCTAACCACTCCCAAGCACTAAGAACCACCACAAATTAAAAACACCAAACCCCGAAAAACCCTCAAACCACTATTTTTGGGCGGGCTGATTTTATGGCATGGCGTTATTATTCGGTAGGGGGGCTGATTTTGTGTAAGCGAGGGGTTGTTTCGGGTGTGGAGCGGTGAGTATAGGGTAGGGGGCTGATTTTGTGTGGCCTTGTGGGTGAGGGGTTGTTTGGGGGCGGTGGTTGTTTATGGGGGGGGGGTGAGAGGTTGTTTGAGGACAATTTTTCTAGGTGAGGTGTGGTTTTGGTGTTGGTGTTGGTGGGTGGTTGGGTGCAGATTAGATGTTGGTGGTGTTGCTGGTGGCCCTGGTGCGGTTTTAGTGTTAGTGGTGGTTGTTTTCAGTGCTTGTGGTAGGTGGTGTTGGTCATGGAGGAAGGATGAAGGAGGTGGTCATGGGGGTGTAGATTTGGGTGGTGGTAATGGAGGAAGATGGTAGGATGGAGGAGAAAGTAAGTGATGACTGGTTGTTTAGGTAACCGATCATTTGGGTTCATTATGGAAAGAAGGGTATAAAGGTTGGATTATTCTGGAATAATCCAAAGGTTAGTTTATTTTGGGAGAATGGGGCAAAGGTTGTATTATTTAAAGTAATTTTTCCTAAAAGTAATTTAAGTTTAGAAATAATAATTTCAGTTCAGTAAAAATAATTTTAGTTCAACGAAAATTAGATGAAGTGAATAGGGTTGACTTAAAGAACCAAAAATGCTGCAAGCATTTGATTACATTATCTAAATGAAATTAGAGAAAGTAAAAGTGTAGAAAACAAAAGAAATCAATGTAAAATGAATGAAAATGATTACAAAAATAACCTAAAATCTGCTCCTATAAGTGCCATAAGAGAAAGTAAAAGTGTTGAAAACAAAACAGTGTCGAGCACATAATTTATTGTTTATATGACAGTTAAGCTAGCCAATATAATATGTTAGAAAGGCTATAATGCCCTAAAGATATAAAGCACATATATAGTATATGAAACCCAAATAGTTGACGGGGGACGCAATGGATTGGAGGATTAAGCTTCAATACACATGATAGGTAGCTCGAAGGAAAAGTGAAACATAATGAATTGAAGGAATTTTGTTTGAAAGCTTTGTTTAAAATGCAATGGGGAGAGAGAAAGAGTGTGGTTCCCTTTTCCCCAAAAATCTTACCTTAGAAGCCACTTCAATGGTGAGAGAGAAAGAGTGTGGGAGAGAAGAGATCGATATGAGAGTGAAATCAGCATAAGCTAGGCTAACCAAATTAAGCAATTGAAGCATGTAAAGGAGAAAAAGGTAAATACACATTTTGAGGGGTAAAGGGTATTCATAAGGTTTTCCAATTGCCAACTTGTGGCTTTTTAAAGGTTATAGATTCAAATGAAAAAGTAGGGGAATATGAAGCAAAGGAAAATATATGGATTAAGGCAAGTGGAGTTTGTCCCCATGTGAAAAATAAGAGCATATTAGCCATTCTATAGAAAAAAAAAAAAAAAAAAAAAAAAAGAACCCATACTAAATAAGGAAATGGTGTAACAATTATGATGTTTTCGTTTTAGGGAAATGATGAAACTATAACCAATCTTGTGCAATAGTGGTTTATTGTTACCACATCATGTGTTAGTAGTTATAATTTCACACTTTGATGACATTATTCAAACATAATATTGTATTAATATTGATGTAAGCAATATTTGTTTGACATTAAACGATATAAAAAATGAATCTTTTTTTTTAAGTAAATTTGTATATGAATTTGATGATATTAAATATACTAGTCTATAATACTTGTTATAAAAGCTATAATTTGTTTTATGTAAATCAAAAGTTATACTTATGGGATTAAGGCTTTGATTGATTGATTGTTTGATGTAAATCAAATGCTAGTAATTTAATAAAACTCAAACTCTATTACAATCTCTTATTAATTAAATTATTTATTGGTTTAGGTGATAGCTTAGGTGGCATAATTTTAATATTTAGAAGGTGGCATAATAATTTCTTGTTCTATAAGATGCCAAGTGGTGTGCTCTTGTGCTTAGAAAAACATGCATTAAAGTTATGTGATATGATAAGAACAATATTTGTGATAATGGAGTTTATTTTTTTATTTTTTTTTTCCTGTTATTGCTCCAATAAATTTGCAGTCATCTTGAAATAGAGGTTTGCCATGAAGTTTGTTATTGTTCATTCGCTGAGAAGGCGCAGATGTTTGTTTATTTTGGTTACGCTTTATGATGTCATAAAACATAAATAAATGCTGACTGGAGTTGTCTCCTTAAGTCCTTGAACATTATAGTTACTCAATACATGTGACTCATTATCTTGTATATGTGAACAGAGGGTGGAGGCCATCATATAGAAATGTCTTGCTTGATGTGAGAAAAGAATTGAAAATTCCATGCTCTAAAAAATTATCGACTGATGACTTGGAGGTGGAGATCTTTATTCATATACTTGGGGAATGTTCAAGGTAAATGTTGCTAATTCATACAAATAATAAGAAGCTACTTTCTTATTTAACTATGAAAGTACAACAATATTATATCTTTGTACTATTATCTTGCTTAAATTTGGGCTTTGTGCCTTTGGAGATTTTGCTAGATTGAAAAGAGAGTTGTGGAGATTGTATCGTGACTAAGGGCTCGTTTGGTTCACCATATTTTCGCAAGTCCGATCTTGTGGATGATGGTTTGAATTGACCAAACTTTGACCTTATGTGGATGATTATCTATAAAGAAAAATTAAATCATGTGGGGTCTTGTTAGATTTTGTAATAATGTGCACTTTATAAATGTATAATTTTTATAATTTTTTGGAAAAATTGAAACCAATAATCCCACCTTTGGCTCATCTGCTCAAAACAATCCCACCTTTGCGTATTCCGGAAATAATCCCACCTTTATACCCCATATTCTCAAAATGAGCCTTTTTACTTATAACCGGTTTAACAGGTTAATTTTTAAATTTTTAATTTTAAATTTTAATTTTAAATTTTAATTTTTTAATTTTTACCTTTATACCCCCTTCCCTCCTCCTTCCTCACCACTCTCCACCTAGAAATCACCTCCATAACCACCACAATTCCATAACCACCACCTAACCACGACCCCCATTAAATAACCAAACTTCTCTCACGCTCACCCCCACCGTCAACTTAATCGATTTCCTCGATCACAGAATTACTGGGACGCTTGAATCGCTTTCTCGTGTTTGTGAAAAATTAGGGGTTCGATTGAAGGAAATTGGGGTTTCTTTTGTTGAAATTGACATTCATGAAGAGCTTTCTCATCCTCATCATCATCGCAAGTTTGCTGGAAGGAGATTTTTACTTCTCAAGATTTTTTTTTGTTAATTTAGCAACAATTTTGAACATGTTTATGTATAAATTGATATATATGATCTGGTTTATTTACTGCCTTGCCGGAGTTATTTTTGTTGTCCTCGTTTTGATTGATTTCTTTGGTGTATTGGCTGTTAGATTGTGATAATGGTGTGCATCGTGCTCTAAAGTTTGAGAATTACTGTAAAATGAACATCACCTGGTTTTAATGGGATTGATAACTTAGGGAAGGGGCGGGGTTTTCTGTTCGGCGAGGTAGGGTAGGGGGTGGGGGTTGCTGTTCAGTAGGGAAGGGAGGAAGGTGGGTAGGAAGAGGGAAGGGGGAAGGAGAAGGAATCGGGGAAGAGGGAAGGAGGGAGCCAGGGAGGTGGCTGCCATGTTCGGCAGGGGAGGGAATCAAGGAAGAGGTGGGTCCGACAGGGGAGGGCGGCTGATCCGGCGTGCAGCTAGTCCGGCAGGGGGAAGGGAGCTTCGGGGAAGGAAGGGGAATTTATTTTTTTGTTTTCTTATTCCTTTGTTTTTTAATTCCTTTATTTTTTAAAAAACCAATTAGAAGGTGACACGTGGCAGTCACCTTCTGAAATCGATTGCTAATTCCTCAAACCGGTAAAAGGTTCATTTTGAGAATATGAGATATAAAGGTGGGATTATTTCTAGTATACGCAAAGGTAGGATTATTTTGAGAAGATGAGCCAAAGGTGGGATTATTGGTTTCAATTTTTCCTAATTTTTTTCATTACGAAATTAAAGATATTAAATTGATAAAAAAACCGCACATAAAACGATGATTTGGTTTGAACATATTTTTTTTTTTCTGATGTGACTTATTTTTTCTAAAAGGAAAAATTGCTTTAAATAATACCACCTTTCACCCGTCCGCTAAAAACAAGTCCACCTTTTGTTTATTTCGAAATAATACGACCTTTGGGGGGTGTCTGCTTTAAACAAGTTATTTTACCTACAACCTGAATAACCTGTTAAATTTTTTTTCCTTTTTAATAAATTCATTTAACAACTCTTAATAACAACTTTAATTATAATTTTTAACAATTAATATATTTTAAAAAAAATTCTTAAAAAAAAAAAAAAAACAACTCCTCCGGCCACCCACCAGCCACTGCACACCAGGCCAACCTAATCCCAGCCCCCGGCGCTGGCCACGCTTGGATTCTTTCTTCCCCGGCGCCGCCGTCGACACCGACCCCCTTCCCCTGCGCGCACCCCTTCCCTCTTCCCGGACGCTGGCTTGAACCACCGAAACCCCTTCCCCAAAACCCTCCCTCCCCCGCAAAACCACTAAAAACCCATCCTTCACCCTCAAAAAACCCTAACCGAACCCCTAGTGGTGGCTGGGGAGGTCCGATTCGGGCTTTTCGAGGGTAGGGGATGGGTTTTAGGTTGTTTTGCGAGGGAGGGAGGGTGTCGGGGAGGGGGGTTTCGCCTTGACATTGTCGATGGTGTTCGAGCTCTCAACCTCCAAGGTAATGGTCTTTCCAATCAAAGTCTTGACGAAAATCTGCATACCTCCCCTCAAACGAAGCACTTGATGGAGAGTAGACTCCTTCTGCATGTTGTAGTCGGCCAAAGTACGACCATCCTCAACGTCTGAAGGGGTGGGTAGGTGGTTTGTCGGGGGTGGCTATTGGGGTTTCTAAGTGGGTAAGGTTTTCGGCAATGGGTGGGTAGGTGGTGTTTTCGTTTGTACGGCCGGTGGTGGTGGAGCTGCGTGCCGGCGCTAGTGGAGTCGCTGCGTGTGGGGGAGGGGGAGAGGAGGTGGCTGGATCGTGGGGGAGGGGGATGGGGATGGGGATGGGTGGTTTTTTTTTTTAAAAAAAAAAATAATAATTTTAAAGAAGTTAAAAAAATTATATTTTTAGACAAATAAAATGATGACACGTGTCCATATAACCTATTAATCAGGTTACCAACAGGTTACAGCTTGTTTAAAGCGGACACCCCCCAAAGGTCGTATTATTCTGAAATAAACAAAAGGTGGACTTGTTTTTAGCGGACGGGTGAAAGGTGGTATTATTTAAAGCAATTTTTCCTTTCTAAAATAAGTAAAAATAAGTTAAACTAAACATGGCCTATCACTAATAAGAAAGAAACAATATTGGAGTATACCTTAGGCTATTGTGATGTCAAAGTCTAATGTTCTTAAGACATAAGGCAACCTACACGCAACCTTTTATAAGGGGGCCTTACGAGTGATTGCTGTCTTATTCACTTAACTTGTTTCCACACAGAATGTATACTTTGATTTCTATAAATCTAAGAAAGTTTATTGAACTTATTAATACATGATTTTTACTAACTGCCCACATTCAAATACAAGAACAATAGTAAAGTGGAAAAAAGCGAAGGCTTTATAGAAAAATAGGAAATCTTGTAAACCTCTTTAGAAGTGGACATGTATAATGGGACTTCTCAAAATTGAACATTAGGTGATTTCAGTGAGATAGAGCTTGGAAGGCATATAATGGATTTTTTATTGGGATGAAAGGAGCAAGAAAAGGTTATGTAAATTGTAGATTAGATAGGATTTTATAAACTTTTCCAGTAGGTGAAAGCATTTTGCTTTTAATGCGGGCAATGATTGTTTTTAATTAAAGTACTCCGTATAAGATTTAATAAGCAATATGCGAGCTATCTGGTGCATAAGGTGTTTTCTTTGTGCAGCTATGTGTTAAGTATAGGCCAGGTTTATAGAACTAGAAATATCTCGTCAGATTTCAGATTGTATTTGTTTAATAATCCAATACTTTAACTATATGGACATGCCGTGTGCTGTCATCAACTGCTAATAAAAAATTTAGTTTTTATGAGCATGATTTGATACATTGACTGAAATTATTAACCATTTCCCTTTTGATGTATTCATATTTGATTATTATTTCAGAGACTGGGATACTGCTGCTGCACTAAAAGTTGGATCAGCAGAACTATGTTCTGTGCTTCTTAAAGTATTGCGTCTTTTACGTCTTTCTCTAAATTTGTATATTTCTTTTATACTTTTTATTGGATTGTGTAATTTTTCCTTAGTTTTGTGTTTAGGGTGGTCAATTGATTTCGATGTTGAAGCTTTCTGAATTGGTAAGACATGTACGATCATGTAGATAATCAGGGAATTTGGATCCTCACTTGCTATTTTCCCCGCTTTCCTCCTAATAGTCTGCAGTTTTGTGTCCCTTGCTAGGTTACAACTAGGCTATCAGGAAAAATGCTCTTTGAAGCAGCTAAACATAAGCTGGATAGCAAAGTTGTTAAAAAGGTGTGTATTCATATTTAAACAGATCTATATAGCTATTTGTAAATGAGACTATGAGGTTGTTTATTTTTATTACCTCCCCATCTTTAGACATATGTGTGTTACCAGTGAGGAAACAGTTTGCGTATGGTTTGGACACAAATCATGTTGAACTCACTGCTTTGAATTTAGATGTGGCAAAGAGTAAGATTTTGCATCCATATCAATGGTGGTAATTCCTTTATGGCCTGTTTGGATATGTGAATTTCATTTGAAATTCCAATTTAGGCCAAATGTGTTGTTTGGGTGATACAAGATTTTGGATTTGTATTTTGGCCAAGTTCAGCCTTTACAGAAATAAATTCAATTCAACAATATTTCAAATTCCATCTCAAATCCTATCATTTCAAATTCTAACTTCTCCCTTATCTTCCTCTCTCTCTTCAACTGACTCAATTGAGTCAACTTGGTCCTTCCTTCTCCAATTCGGTCAAGCTTCAGCTTTGGAAGCTCAGCTACCGTCTCTAGAACTCCTGCGTCGATCTCACAATCAGTCAATCGGACACGTAAAGCTCCTGCACGCCGCCGCCGATATTCTCACCATTGTCGGTGATTGTTGCAGAAGTTCCGTCACCGGCGATGATGGAGGCTTCGTTCTACTACAAGACTGGTTTGATTTGGCATGAGATGAAGATTGATTTGGCGAATGATTGTTGTGAGAAAGCAACGGATCTTGTTGTGAAGGTTGATTCGATTTCTGACCTAGGAGAGAGAAAGTTTGGCGATTCTTGCTCGATTTGGTGAATGATTCTTGCTCGATTTGACCTAGGTTGAAATTGTGAAGGCTGAAATTGATTCTTGATCGATTTGGCGAATGATGTTGCTCGATCTGAATATTTCAAAGTTAAAATCTGAAATTCCAGAATTGAAATTCTGATGTTTCCCAAACACCCAACAAAGGAATTGAATATCAAGATTTCGAATTCTGAAATTCAATTCCAACATTTGAAGTGACTATCATGTTTCCAAGCACAACCTTATCGGAATTTACATCTCTTGGAATTATCATTCACGAGATGAGTTGATTTGGGGAAGGTGGTATGGTTTCATGAACTTGCTGTGCTTGCAGATTCAGTCTTACTCTCTGTCTTTCTTTTTTTTTTTTTACTGCATATTCACGTTTAAAAATTCTTTTCAGTTCTCACTTTGTAGCTTCAATTGAACCTCTAAGTTCTTGTTAACGTTATTATTTTATTACATAGATTTGTATCAAGTACATGGTGGATACTGGATATAGTCTTATCTATAATTCTCTACACATTTTTCTGCTGTTTTTTTAGTAGTGCAGAGACTGATGAGCATAATTTCCAATATTGTGATGCTTGGGTGCTGAAGTATAACTGTAATATTTCTCTATGCTGGTAGAAATACAATTATTTTGTGTGGAAGAAGGTCAAGGTAGAAATTGCAGGCTGTTTTATTTTGCTTGGCATATGTAGTCGAAGTGAACTAGAATTACTGCCAGTCTTGCAACTTGGTCAATTTGTTGCAGTAATTGGTCAATTAGACGTGTAGTTTTTTTAGAGCAATCTGCATAAATATGAATTGATGAGAAGAGGCTGCCTAAGTAGAGCTTGGGCAAACCTACGCTGTAGGCACCTGGCAAAACTGTCATGGATGCCCAATTTTTGAACCCAAAACTCATAAAAACAAACAGAACTGAAATATACTCAAATTAGATGATCCAAATATGACGTGTACACAAATTTATTGAATATGAAATCAATGCTAAGTCTTTGACCAATATTTATCCGAAATAAAATTGTAGCCCTGACTGAACTGATTGTAATGGTTAATTCGTCAAGGTGAACGCATTATTTCTTTTGCTGATAGCTGTTTTGGTAGAATAATTTATGGCGTAAAAGTGTAAATGCTTGGTAGGTATATTATCTAATCTAGTACGAGTATAATAACCCATGTCAATAAGTGTCATAGAGTTACTGCTAAGTGCTAATTGCTAAAGGGCTTATAATAACCAATATTTATGAAGAGCCTAAAAGTGTTTTATTTGTTTTATCACGTTCCCTCCTAAATTTTTAACCAAGTACCCCCCCCCCCCCAAAACTCCTAATTATTAGCTTCACTCAAAGTGAGATTAAACACACTCTCACAATGACTTGTGAATCACTAAACGCTCATTGTCTATCAAGAAAGTTCTTTATATATCCATCTTTGTTCCCTTTGTATTTGCAAGTAATGGCATGGCTTATTTAACTATCAATTTTTATTCCATTATTTAAACTTAGGACTCTGTGTGGTTTTTTTTGTAGGGGCTTACTGGGGCTGCATCAAAGTATCTTGGGTTTCACAGTCTAGCTGCATTCATTGGTCCAATGTAAGTGACTGTGCCCTAGCTTTCTTTTCCTTTTTTAATTTTTTAATTTTTACTTTCTCTTCTTTTTTTATTTTATTTTTGATGAATTCTCAGGGTCTGATATGTTCACTTATTCAGTTAACTCCATTACCCCTCCTTTAGGATGATGCAATTGAACATAGTTTACTCCATTACCCCTCCTTTGTTCATTTTCATTTTTTTTTCATTCTGATTAGAGAAGACATGAATTTGCCAAATAGTCTAATAGAGTTAACATTGATTGCCATCTGCTATAGTTAGTCTGCCAGATTCCTTGGATAGGAGAGGGGGGTTATTTTCACTTTTGGATTTGTTACTTGTTATTGCTTTATATTCTATTCTATATGAGGTTTTCCTTTTCCCTTTGAGTACTTATCAGTGTCTTCTCCATTCTTCTTGATTTTAAATGTTTCCCCTAATCTTTTGCCCACACCAAATTCAATCAATCAATCAAAGCCTTAATCCCATAAGTGGGGTCGGCTACATGAACCAAAAATGATTATTCCGTATAGTCATCCACAAAAATCTTCCTCCATCCCTTACGATCAAATGCCTCATGCTCATGCAAATCCATATACTTCATATCCTACCTAACTCCTTCCAGCCAAGTCATTTTTGGTCTCCCTTTTCCTCGTTTAACCCCTCTATGGTCTCACTCTTCCACTCTTCTCATCGGTGCACCCTCGGATCTCCGTCTTACATGCCCAAACTAACGCAGGCGATTTTTCCCTTAGTTTGTCTAGAATGCCTACCACACCCACTTTCTTGCGAATAACCTCATTTCTGATTTTATCTCTTAGAGTGTTCTTGCACATCCATCTTAACATGTGCATTTCCGTAACTTCCATCTTTTTAATGTGCTCCTTCTTAGAAGCCCAACATTTTGTACCATACAACAACACTGTCTTCTGGCAATCCTGTAGAATTTCCCTTTCAAATGTAGGGGAATGTTTCGGTCACATAACACTCCCTTGGCCGCTCTCCATTTAAGCCATTCCGACTTAATCCCGTGGGTCACATCTTGATCAATGTCACCATTTTTCTGGATGATCGACCCAAGATATTTAAAACATTCACTCATGGTCAAGTTCTTTTCGGCAAGGTCACTACATCATCGCTTGTTCCCCTCTATGTACTAAAGTAGCATACCAAATATTTAGTCTTACACCGACTGAATTGTGTAGGTAAAATAATGAAGTATTAGGTCTTAATCTTTAGATGTAACCTTTCTTTTCAGTAAAATAGAGATTTGGAGTTGTACATTGTTAATTGGAAAAAAAAGGCATGATAGCTATACTCCATACTATAAATGTTCCGACAATTTTTTATTGGATATCTTATATGGTTTCATTTCATTAATTTGTTTCTCTAATGCCATAGCAGTTTTAATTATTTGTTTAGATACTCCCGCGTCACTATTTAGTGGTACTTTCTTAGTGGTGTTATATTTTAGGCAAATCTGTGTACTCCTTATTTTATTATGTGATGAATGGTAATGTACGTGTTTTTTTTTTTTTTTTAGTTTATTATTATTATAGTTTTTTAGTGGGTATTTGTTAGAGCTCTCGCAGCGGAAATGTGGTTTCTACTAGATAATATGAAACCGATACCTCACAAAGTTAAATAATATTTTGGGATAGACAAATAACCAATATGAAGGAAATAATAAATGTAAGAAAATAAACTTTCTTAATGCTAATAAATTTTTGACGTGAATAATGATTGAATTAATTAACTATGCATTACAACCTAAACATTTTATAATAACATAAGTGCTAAATTAGGAATGCTAAATAAGGAATGTTCTCTAAAGAACCAATGACGTACATTGTTTACTCTCCTACAATTCCTCTTGCTCTATGATTATTAATTCCCCAAAAATTAAGGAGAATTAATCTCACAATCAAGAACACTTATTTCTACAATTCTCCACCTCGTTCAAAATTAGAAAACATTCAATTTTGGACTAACGAATTTTAGTTATCCGTATCCGGTTGCAACATTTTTACAATGACTGCCTACGTACCTTTGACCAAGATCAAACCAATCGTAGTTCCATTTATTTCCCCATGTAACATAACATGGGACAATGTTCAGCAGTTCCAAACAATGTTGGAACTTGCTTCCTTATACAACTTTGGTTAACATGTCCGCAGGGTTCTCATTTGTATGCACTTTCATAAGAGAAATATTTCCTTTCTCTATAACATCTCGTACAAAATGATACCTTACATCTATATGTTTGGTACGAGCATGATGAACCTGGTTCTTGGCGAAGTGAATAGCACTTTCACGCAGTTTAGATTCACACTATCCTGCTTCAACCCCAAATCATCTAGAAGTCCCCGCAACGACAATGTTTCCTTAACTCCTTCTGCCATAGCCATATACTCGGTTTTTGTTGTAGATAGAGCCACTGTAGCCTGAAACCAACTAACTGGAGCACCATGTATCTTAATCACATAACTAGTAGTAGATCGTCTTCTATCTAGATCACCAGCATAATCCGAAAAAACAAAGCCGCTTATTTGACATGTATTTCCACCAAAGCATAAACCTTTGTCAATGGTACCTTTCAAGTACTTCAAGTACCGTAAAATCCATTTCACTGCTTCCCAATGTGCTTTACGTGGGTTCGCCATAAACCTACTAACAATACTGACTGCTTGTGAAATGTCAGGACGTGTACACACCATGGCGTACATTAAGCTGCCAACTGCAGTAGCATAAGGTACATTATCCATGTATGCCTTATCTTTTGTTGTAGAGGGAGATTGTTTACTAGAGAGCCTAAAATGTGGAGCCTATGGTATCACCACTGACTTAGCACTTTTCATCTCAAACCTTTCAATAACCCGCTCTATGTAGCCTTTTTGGCTCAAGAACAATTTTCGGCTTGATCTCTCTCTTCTAATCTCCATACCCAATATTTTCTTTGCAGCGCCCAAGTCTTTAGTCTCGAACTCTTTACCAAGTTGAATTTTTAACCTATCTATCTCTACCTTGCTTTTTGAAGCAATAAGCATGTCTACATACAATAGGGAATAAATATAATCACCTCCACGAAGTTTGCGAATGTATACACAACAATCATAACTACTTCTGGAGAATCCTTGTTTTAACATAAAAGAATCAAATCGCTTGTACCACTGTCGAGGAGATTGCTCTAATCCATAAAGTGATTTCCTCAAGCGACATACCTGATTCTCTTTACCCTCAACCTTAAATCCCTCGGGTTGATACATATAAATTTCCTCATCCAAGTCACCGAGTAAGAAGGTTGTCTTCACGTCGAGCTGAATAGAACAACACAGCACCTGAATAGAAGTATGTTTTACCACCGGAGAAAAAATTTCATTGTAATCAACACCTTCTTTCTGTGCAAATCCCTTGGCCACTAACCTAGCCTTATACCTTATTTTATCTAACTTGGAAGGATCCTCTTTTCTTTTATACACCCACTTACAACTAATAGCAGTCTTTCCCACGAGCAATGGGACTACCTCCCATATCTTGTTTTTATGAAGATATTGCATCTCTTCTTCCATAGCAACCAACCAACTCTCGCTATCCTTGTCTTTAACAGCTTGTTTGAAGGTGACCGACTCATCATCCTCCACCGAGAGTGCATATTCTACCAAGTTTACTTGCCCGTAATGCCTCAGAGGTCTTTCTGACCCAAACTTCTGAACTAGTTTATAATTCCTCTTTGGCTTAGTGGATGCCAAAGAATCCTGCTGCTGCTGTTGTAGTACACGTCTCTTCATGATCCAGATGATCCTCCTCATCTTGAAAAACACCAGGATGCTCCACTTGTCCATGACTAGAATCTTGTTGGTTTCTAGATTCTATTTCCACCACTTGAGTATTTGTAGTCATTCCAACATCACCATCATTAGGCACCATAGCTTTTGATAAAGCTACCATCGATCTTTCATCAAAGGTCACTTCCCTACTAATTACAAATTTAGAATGTTCTACACTCCAAAGGCGATAGCCTTGAACCCCTTTTGGATACCCCAAAAAGATTGCTTTCTTAGCTCTTTCATCAGGCTTATTATCCTTAACATGATAATAAGCCGTGCACTCAAAGACTCTTAAGTCTCATGTAATCTACATTACAACCTAAACATATTATAATAACATTAGTGCTAAATTAGGAATGCTAAATAAAGAATGTTCTCTAAAGAAACAATGACACATTGTTTACTCTCCAACAATTCCTCTTGCTCTATGATTCATAATTCCCTAAAAATTAGGGAGAATTAGTCTCACAATCAATAACACTTATTTCTACAGTATTTTTTTTTTTAATTATAATTATAGAAGAATGGGTTAAAAGAAATAATAAAAAATAAGCGATTTCATGCCATTTATAGAAAGAAATAAAAATGTGTCAACTAGGGACAGCTTAATAAAGAAAGTGTGTCAACTAAATAGGGATGGAGCCATAGAGGTAGTATTTTAGTTATTTATAGCCAGATGAATAATGGTAAAGTATATTTCACAAGGATTGCGACCACTAAGATTCTGAAGTAAGCTTGTTTCTTTCAACAACAATTCATCAAACTCCAAAAGATTGTGAAGCATGCATTTAGTTTGCTTATTGCCTCCAATATCAATCCATGCAATTCGTAGATGCCCAAAATAGTTGGACCCCTTCACAAGAAGTTTTGATTAGGTAGCCTAGATTAAATATCCCAACTGAAAATTAAAGGTATTTCTTTTAGTTAGGAGTCTCTATAGCTTGTGCCTAGCCTGTGGAAGTGTCATCATCCATATGAAATAGGTGTAAAGATGTCCAACTTCTTCATCGAGGGGCATTTGGTTTCTAAGAAGGAAACGGATACAAGGAGAAAATAGAATGACAAGCCCTCGGATTTATCATGTTTGTTTTAAAACAAAGGATGGGAAACACTAACATACAACCATCACCACCACTACCCCTCTATTTACTCTACAACAACCTCTGTTGTTGCTGCCCCTATCTTCCCCCTAGATTCCCTTCTCATTCGCCGCAGCCCTTCCCCTTAATTCATGGTGACTCCCTCTATCTCCCTTTCTCTTAGTTCCAATTGTTTGGTGGCTTATGGTTGTGGTTGGTTTGATTTTGGGGCAGGTGGTTGTACTGCATCCACCTAAAAGCCTACCCATTCGCTTTACTTATAGTCGGCGCAACAAAGGGTAAAAGAGTCGTAGGCAATCTGTTTCTTATGAGGAGGCAAGTGATACATGAGGATGTTAGTTATGCTGAGAAAAAATGCTCCTTTTTTGTGGAAAAAAAGAGCTACTTTTTGAGAGAAATTCATTCATAAAAGACTGTACTCATTCCTTTTTGTCTGGGGAAAATTAGCCTCTCGTATTGCTGGTGTAATTACATTCCTTTAGATAACATTATAATAATATTGCATTGTTAGTTTTCTTTCTTCTTCAGCATTCAATGTATCTCTCTTCCTCTTCTTTTCCCTCTTTGTATCTAATTTGTATGGCTTGGGGCTAGGAGTGTGTTGCTGTACTTGCATGGGCATGTGGGTCATGTAGGCCATGGCATGTTGGCAGGCATGCAGCTACCGCACAACACGGGGCTAGGCGTGCTAGCAGACGTGTAGTTGGGTGTCTTAATGAAGAAAACATTTACTTAACCGTGTATTATTTTTGAAGATCTATGCGGTGCAAACCCTTGTTGGCCCAATGAAATTGCGAAAAAAGGCCTTTAGCATGCTTTAAGATTCCAGGTTTCTAAAATTGATGAGTTGCAAGGCCTTGCCACAAGCTTATGTATTTAAGGGCTTGGATTAGGCCATAATCTCATTACATGGTGTTGTGTCGTAGTCGGTAACACAGAAGGCTTTTTATTTTGGGCTGTGACTTTTGCTACGTGGTCAAAAGGTTATGAGGGCTAAGAATCTGATCCTCAAACTGCATGACTTAGGCACAGGGTTTGCATTGCTTTTGGCTGGTGGGTAATATACCCTCGAATTCATGCTTCATTCATTCAGGTGTGAGCCATGCCTCATTCTTTTGTTCAACACTTACAGTTTGAAGATTTTTTTTAGGGCATTTGACCGTCACGTGTTTGTGAAAGGTTGATTCTTGAACATGATTTTTTACTATCTTGACTTCAATCTTCTCTTCAATCTTCTAGATTATGTGTCCTCGCAAAATCATCTTTATCAATATGGCGTGTACACTTGGCACTGATTTTGTAAATCGCTATCTACCTTCAATTTTTGTTTGAGTTTCACTTTTGCACTATTGATTTTGTGGATCTCCACCTTCATTTTCTATACAAGGAGCTTCTCATTGGTCACTTAAATTCATTCTCAACACATCTTTGTTCCGAGAAAGTCTTTTGTACACGCTGAAGACTCTCGGAAAATGAGAAGCACTAGAGAGTCTTTTGACCTGAATTTAAATGTGTAATGAATGATAAAAAAAAAAATAATAAAATAAAAAAAAAATTAGTCCCTGCGTCATATATAGGGAAGATGTGAATTATGCATGTGGGAAGCACTAGAGATTAATCAAGGTCCAATAAGGATTCCTGATCTATACTACTCCCTCCGTCCTTTTATTAAAGACCTGTATTCCTTTTTTGGCAAATCAAAAGTAAAGACCTAATTCTATTTTAAGGTTGTACTATTTGAGAATATTTTCTACTTTTTGATGAGTTGTCATCACTTTTTTGTACTAATAATGACTTTTTACATCAATTTCCAACATTCTCTCTCTCTCTCTTCAATTATTCCCAACGACTTTTTTTTTTTCTCTCTCTCTCTAACCCCATATGCACTTATGTACTTCCACCAACTTTCTTAATTTCCGTGAAAAAAAAACCCAAAAAGGGAGTATTGAATATCATGATGAAATTTTCAATATAATTTTAAACGTTTTGTGATTATTGTCCTACATTTCCTAAATGAATTATGTTTTGTGACTCTCTGTACTAATTGAAAGCAATGTAATTAAATTTGCCAACGCACTTTGACCATTATTGTGTTTTAGTAAAATTATGAAATGCTGATATTTGATTACATACATTTAAACAAATTCAATAGTATAATGCTTCCTCTGTTTATTTTGATTGCATCATTTAGTATGGGTACAAAATTTAAGAAAAAAGATTAAAAAGGTGGGAAACGTCAACTTTGCCCATGTGATACTTACAAATGAAAGAGAGAAAGGTTGGAGTGATAATAATTGTTATCACATTCACATGTGAACAATGATAGGATATTTTGTGAAAGCATATCAAATAAGGAAATGGTGCAATTTATATGTACCATTTTTTTTTATCTATTAGTAAACAAATATAGTAAAAAATTAGTATATGAATAGTGTAAAAAGTTTATATAAAACAATTGAAAAAACACATAGAATGTATGTTTACTATTCTCTTCCCCCTGCCGTGGTCTTTGTAATTAGTCACATAAATTTATCACTTTGTTGCCTTTTGTATCTTCTTAGGGTGTGGGGAACTTTTTTGGCAGACGTCGTCATCCAAATGTTGGGGACTGATTATATCAGGATTCTGCAAGCTATTTATGCCTTGGCTCAGGTACCTTTCTTATGGATCTGTCATGAAATCATACTTCTTAGATGAAAGTGTATGCCTGGTTTTCTAATTAGTCATGTAAATATAATTAATGGATGCCTTACTGGTAGAGATTTTGATCATGCTTTTATTGATTTGTCGTGTGAAAATGCGCTGTGAATTTTGTTGCTCAATATATGGCTAAATATATAAACTCGAGACAAGCTATACAAAACTCTTCTATGTGATCGTCAATTCATTAACACTCAATTCATTGTGCATCATTATCAGTTAATTATTACTGGTGACCCATTCTAAAGCTTTATTTGTAATATACTTGAATGCATTAACAGTAATCCCACCTTAGGTCATTTGTTAACCCACTTAGCACGATTCATAACCTCATCTAAAAGCGTCACACAATTAAGGGATGGTGTGGTGTCATGTAAGAATTTGTTGTACAATAAACTACTGAGTAGCAAACTTCTTTACATGTATAGTTTACACATTTCTTTTTTTAAATCTTACTTCTTTCCTTTTTGTTCAGATCCGTATTCTTCGCAGACATGGTCTATACTTGGATAAGCTGAAAGCGGGATTTTGACAAGCCACCACAGCTTCATAAACTTCTTGTGTACATTGATTATAAATTATGTATTAGTGTTCCATCTATGTATGTTATCTGTATTCATCGCAGGCATGGTCTATACTTGGGGAGTTGGGGTAAACTGAGGGGCTGAATTTTGAGAAGTTGCTGCAGTTTCATAAACTAGTGTACAGTTAATAGAATCATCTAGTTTATGTTTCATTTTCTTCATTTATCAGCTAGCATTCTGTATAGAAATATTTTTCTTTTGGTTGGTAATCTGCTAGCTGATTGGAACTCTCTGAACTAGGGGATCTGAAATACTGTACGGGTATAATTTATCCAACATAAGTTGAGTGGACTTGTGCCTGGATATCGCACTGTTGATTTGCTTTCGAAAGTCTTTCCGAATTAGAACAAAGTTTAGTCATGCTTAACACCATAGCTACACAGAAAGAATTGGATTCGAACCATTCTTTCTGCATTTAGAAAATCGTGAGTGACTATGTCGTGGTTCTCTTCATTTAAGTCCTTAAATCATGTTAGATTACCTCTTTTTTCATGTTAGAAGTCCACAAAACTGCATTTATATTTGCATTTTGTTCCGGAAGATGTCTAAAAACAGAAGCGTAGGCTGTGGCATTCTTAACCAAAACAAAGGCTCTACAAACATGCTAATGTTGTGATTGTGTCCTTTGCACATTAGGATGAATCCACTCACCTAACTCTATCTTTCTTCCTCTCTCCTGCTATCTCTGTGTTTTTACAATATTTTAATGTATGTTATATATTTGCACATACACAACAGAAAACAATTATCCATTTGTATTTTCTCATCCTTTATTGTATCTTATATAGATTTTTCAACCATTAGTTCCCTAAAATACAATGTTTATGGGAGCCCTTATAAAACAATTTTGGGGGTTCATAGTGTGTTAATGGTCTCTTCCTTGGAGATAGGGATCAAAGAAACTCACAATTAAGGTTATCGAGTTACTTGAATGTTTGACTTAGTTTGTGTTACCTATTTCGTTATGCTTACATACCTCATTTACTTAACGTTCTAGGCACTTGGTGTCTATTAGAGATTGTTAATATGTATGCCAAAAATTGTTGTTTCTTAGTTTTTCCATGCTTAATTGTTGGTTTTTCGTTTTCCCATGTTTTCTCCAAATGCAATAGAATGTGGGATACAAAGGTAAAAGCATGTTGAAAAGCTAGACTTAAATTTTAAACAGTTAATATCAAACAGAAAGATGTACTTTTGTTTATTTAGTTCTCTTTGTAATAAAGGAGCTAGTAAGACTTTTTTCCATTTTTGTAAAAGCATAGCTTTGTTTATTGGTCACATCATATTTCAAACAAAAAAGTTCAAATCAAATCAAATAAAAAATATTAATATCATATATGTATACCACATTTGTGGCAAAAGGCTATCAAATCCCAACAATTCGGCAACTTATCCCCAAGAAAAACAGAATGAATCGTGTGTTCCACTCCATATAATCTTAAGTGTTTCTCCACATCTTTACGTTAAGGAATTAACCCAAGTAATATAAAAAAATACCAAGATTTCATCCAATAATTCAAAGACAAGGAAAACCACAAATCCACAAATCTATGTACAAACACTAGTCACATAGGGCAAGTTAGTAGAGAACAAGTCTTAAATAACCTAAGGCAGAAGGCTGCCCATGGAGGACCTAGTTAAGGACAAAACGGTGCCTTGAATCAACATAACTCTCAACATCCCACAAAAACGAGCCAAAAGTCACAGCCTCCAGAATAAGTCTTCTTAGACCACCAAATCGAATCTTGATGAACTCATCACTAGAAGAATCTATAGTTCCCTGAGGTGTCATGACTATCTCTGGTTTCCCAAACAAAGCTTCAGTGTGCTTTTCAATAATTGAAACAGCCTCCTTGGATCGAATAGTGGCAACTCTTGCGAGTGTTTCTGCATCAAATGCCATGACATAGCTTCTTAGACGGGAGGGTTTTATCCCTTGGTCAAATCCCCCTGGACCAATACCACCAGCCCAAGATGAAACTTCAGGATGCAATTGCGCCTGATCACGATGGAATGAAGCTGAGTCCTCAACATCCATGTGTGCCCCATTTTCCATTGTAACTTCATTTTCTCTTCCATCTATCTGCTCAGGAAGGAACTTCATGGCCTTTTCTAGCTGAAACCTCTGGTCTATGCGCTTGAGAAAGTAACCAAACATCACCGATGCTGCATATACCTGCCCAACTCTGAGCTTGCTGACCTGTGCTACTGAGCTTGAATCTTCCAACCTGTTACCAAGTATAAGAGCGAGATGATTCTGGATCATCTCGTAGGCTTCAGGAGAGTGCACTTCTTCTAGCTTCCCATGTGGACTAGGCCACACATCCACACGACCTGAAGGATCAGCTGAAGATGGAGAAATAGAGGGGATCAGTGAAATATTAGAATCCACGAATTTTTGTACCACCAAAGTGTACAAAATCTCTTCCAAAGCTTTTCTCCTTTCATTCGCCTTAACCTCTGCTATCCTCCTGATCACAATAATGAAAAGACGATAAATATGAGTGCTACATGAACTAAAAGTTATTAATGACATTTATGGATTAGATTTAACCACTAACCTGTATAATACAAGATCAGTGCTTGAAGCAGATTGCTCTTCCTTCTGTTTTTCGGTTTCACAATCAGTCTGCAACTGCTCAAGTTGCTGGTCAACTGCAGCAGGGACGAGGTGTGGATGGCTGGCTAAAATTTGGGACAGAAACTGCCCAACTGGAGACTCTAGCTGAAGGGGAGCGATGGGTCCAGTAGAGTCAAAAGAATTGGAAGAATTAGATGCTCGAACTACAAGAGCCTTTCTGTTCCTAGAGGACAATTTTCCAACCCCGAGCTTTACATGATATGGAGAGGTAGACTGCAAGAGGTCAACTATTAGTATCTTAATATTCTTTTACAGTGACAGGACACTTCAAAAGAAGAATTAAATGCACAACAGAGCACAAGCAACACAGTAAGTTGCAAATAGAAACCAAAAATTGTGGACTTATTTGAAATCTAATCTCAAATATAAAACCCATAAGGCCCAGCCCTTAACCGGTGCGGCCTGAGCAACAGCACAGGGCCCATAAATTGGTTAGGGCCTCATGTCTAAAAATACAGTTAAGTAAATAACATATCGCATAACTATTGTTTATATGTGGCGTGGTTCAGTGGTGTTGTGCACAGCCGCAAACCGTCGTAGGTACCAACCAACACATTTTTAACCTTGGCCGGCTGTGCCGCCTCGGTTATCTCCCTAGAGAATGCAGAAGGCTGTTCCCCAAGGTTTTTCACCCAGAGCTGCCAGTCCATAGGCTGGACCTGATGTGCCGCCTGACCCCCAAAGGGAGACGGCTGCATGTATGGTGATCCATACGACATGTATGGCTGTTGGGGCACATACGTAACCAGCTGGATGATGTGAGGGCTAGTACGTGCGGACATGCCGCGTGACTGACTCCCTTTATGCGTCTCCGAATGCTTCATTGAAGTATTGCGGAAATTGTTTGGGTAAGTCGACGTTGAGGCCAACTCAGACATGTGTTGACTTCTCTTCTCCTGGATGAACATCCGGGCGTCAGAGTAAGTCTTCTTTGACCCATCCGGCTGTACTTGCCGGATGGCCTTCCTTTGCCCTGATTCAGGGAAACGAAGTTTGGAGAGATCGATTAGGGGCCCATCCGTCCCCTTTGGTTTAGGGTAAGGAGTAGGCACCCGGTCTTTGAGTTGCTTCTTCTCGGAGGGAGAAGACTTCTTTGCCGGCTGACCCTTGTTTGAGCTAGTTGACTTCTTGATTATGTCCTTGATTTCCCCTTTGAAACTCGTCATGAATTTCATGAGCTCGTCTCTGGTGACAGGGGCTGTGCCCTCCGCCGCCTGGGGTTTCCCAGCAGGGTTGCCGGCTGGGTTTCTATGACCAGCTTTGACTTGGCCCCGTTCCCTTGTTTCCTTGGAACGGGTGCGCCTTGATCGAAGTGACCCGTGTGGGGCCACATAGGTGTTGACCTCATAGTCCTCATCACTATTCTGGTCCGTGTGGACCTCAGGCTCGGCCGAAGGTCGTCTGCCCTCAACAGGCAATACAGTGTCGGATGCCATCTCAGAAGTACTCTCCCCACAGATAGCGCCAAATGTTTCGGGGGTTTTTGGAGTCCCTCGGGAGATTTACAATTCTGGGAATGCTCGCCTGACTTCTGTACCTGCAAAACCACGAAACTCCGGTTGGTTGGAGTTCTGCCTCCGACGATCAAGTTAGTATGATTCCGGATGGGTAAAAGTGCGGAATGTAAATGGGTTTTTCTCCCTGATTTAGAGAGATTCCGCAATTAATATTACTCGGTTTTTGTGTATGTATTTATGAATATGTAATAAATGAGGAATTTCCTCTATTTATAGCAGATGAAGATCTGCTCCCCCATTAGGGTTACAATGCCACGTCTCAGCATCCGATTGGATCCCATTGGGCCTTTGAAGGGCTGCCACGTGTCAGCGCGGTATTGGGCCACGTGGCATAGGGGGGGTTTATCCCAAACAAAATCTAATTATGCACGTATGTGTTTTATTTTTTCTTTTATTTGAAACATAATTATTCACTACTAGAAAACAGTTGTTTTTCGACGGAAAAAAAACCGTCGGAATCACCTGAAAATCCGTCGGACATCAAAGGTCTGTTGTAAAACCGTTTGTAGGAAATTCGCCTTTTTCCGAGGTAACATCTGTATTTTGCGAGGAATTTTGGCATCGGAAATAATTTTTCGACGGACACAAATCCGTCGGAAATTTCCGTCGGAAATTGGTTCAATCTAATTAAAAAAAAAGGCTGCACCACCACCGGCACGACCTGTCCCCACCCCAACCCCTAACCCTAACCTTAGACCACGACCGCTATTACCCCCCACATTAGACCACCGAAACCCCCGCAACCCAGATTCGCCTACGAAACCCCCACAACCCAGATCCACCCAGGAAACCCCCCTAACCCAAAACTACCCACAACCCACTACCACTACAACCCACCACCGAAACCCATAACCCAACCCACTACCACCGAAATCCCTAACCCACAACGACCCACAATCCACTACCACCGAAACCCCTAACCCACATCACGAACACCACGAACACCACCGGTCCTAAATCCACACCACGAATACCACCAGCCCAAACCTACGTCCACCAAAAAATAAATCGACCAAACGCACCAACCACCACATCCACCAAACACGGCACCAGCCACTAGGGGTGTTAAAAAAAACCCCGACCCGGTTGTCCCGTCCCGATTTCCCGACGACCCGCAAAAAACCCGACGGGAAATTTTCAAAATTTTCTGTTTTTTGGGGTCGGGTACCCATCCCGGTAAAATAGC